ACATTGGTCTACTGCTACAGGTGTACAATTGTCGGCTTCGTCAATTCGTCGTCGTCTGCTGCGCCGTGGATTGCGTGCAAGGGTGCCATTATACAGGATTCCCCTCACGGCGGATCATCGACGGCTGCGTCGGCAGTGGGCTCTTGAGCACAGAGACTGGCGAGCTGATTGGCACCAAGTTGTCTTTTCAGATGAATCACGCTTCAATTTGTGGACCCATGATGGCCGTGTTCGTGTTAGACGTTATGCCGGTCAACGCTGCCTTCCTGAGTGTATTATTGAACGACATAGTGGTCGAACACCCGGAGTTATGGTCTGGGGTGCGATTTCGTATCATGGACGATCCAATTTGATACGAATTGAGGGTAATCTCAATAGCAACAGATACGTCCGTGAAGTGCTACAGCCCGAAGTCGTTCCTTTCCTTCAAGGCATCCCTGGAGCTATCTTTCAGCAGGATAATGCACGCCCACATGTTGCGCGGACTGTTAGAGACTTCTGTTCAGCACAACGCATGCAACTTCTTCCTTGGCCTGCTTATTCGCCGGATATGTCGCCTATTGAGCACGTGTGGGATATGGTTGGTCGGCGTCTCACTCGTGATCCGCGTCCTGCAGTTTCCAAAGACGAACTTTGGTTGCGCATACAAGCGATATGGAATTCTCTTCCTCAAGCAGATATTCAACATCTGTTTGACTCCATGCCACGTCGTATAGCAGCACTTATTGCAGCGCGTGGTGGCTGCACCAAATACTGATTTCGGACGCTTAATTTGTTTCTTTTGTTTTGAAAATTTCATCATTTATTTGTATCAGTACAAGTCGTTTCTGCATTAAATTTCATTTGATTCTGATGATTCTTTCATGGTGTTGCATTTTCTACAAACAGCAGTTTATAAAATATATCGTTTAATACTTAAAATAATAATATTTAATCAATTTTTCAATTTAAAATACAATATATGTTTTTTTTCCTAATGAACATAAAAAAAACTTTTAAATACTTTCATAAAAAGTTTCAGTTTTCAATATAGTTATTCAAAATACGAAAGTATTATAAAGGAAATAAAAAAGAATGTTAAAGGTGGGTGAAGAAAACTTTTTTTGTCTTGGGAAGTGAACGTTTATCCAAAAACGTTTAGAATCTATGGTGACGAATAATCAAGGATAAAACAAATTTCCAAGTATTATTGTAATAATTTTTTTTAAATTTATCCCACTCATAGTCCAGCTGCCTATAATCCCATTTCACTGCGCTAATAAAAAAAAGTAAGTTTCGCAAGAATAGAGAATTCATTTATTTATGATTAGAAGGTTTCCGAAAATTATAGTTTTCATATGCAGCAACATGATTTTTTGGAAACTTATGTACAGGTGTATTGAGAGGGAGGGACTACATTTATGTTGGCGCGCCTAATGTTATTTTGGTTATTTACAGAAGGAGTGAAGAGCTTTAGTGAAAACCAGTTCCTTAAGCTTGAAGTAGAAAAAATTAATTACACGTTGCATCATAAAGTGTAGTGTTTTTTCTTTTTCTTTCTTTCTGCCAAAAAAAATTTAAATACACCTTTAAGTCAACCCCGTCGACAAAACCAGGGTGTTTTTTAAACAATTGCATGCAACAAAAACTTGACATTTTTATTCATTTTTGGTGAAATAAATAAATATTTGACAAATAATTATTTTTCTGTCCCTAATTTTTCCCATAGATTAACCCTTTGGCGTAGGTGGGACACCGGTGTTCCTTTTATGCATATACATTTCAACTAACTAAAAAGAAAAGAAAACTTTTAAATTTAATTTTAAAGCTAGCAAAAAAAGGTAAATAATAATTTTATTTTTGTTAGACTCAAAATGATAAATAAAAGGCGAATTAATTTCGTAATTCTTCTAACACTAGAGAAAATTCTGTTTACGCTTTTGGAAAATTATGCACCTCATGTATTAGATTTAACAAAAATAAAATTATTTTCACGTTTTAGTCTACCTAAAAACAACGTTTTTAAAATTTTTATTTCATATTACTATAAAGGGCAACTCATTTTCACTTCAACTTATGACAGAGCTCATAGGACTTTATATTTTATTATAGCAACAATATTACAATTTATTGATTTTCTCGAAGTTCTAAATCTGTTTCCAATCACAAAAACACAATCGTTATAGATAAATTTTTTTCAAATATAATTTTTCCCTTCATTGAAATAAAAAGAAACTTTTCTTAAGATGCAAAATGACATTTTTATGACACATATATATTAACTTGGTGTAACAATAAACAATTAGAATAATCGAAAAGTAATTATTATGCCTAAAAGAATAAAATCTAGGAACCTAAATTTATCGATATAGAATCCAGTCATTTAAATACTGGAATGTAATTTATGCATAACTATCAAAACTAGGAAAACAATAGCTTATAAATAACTAAGTAATGTCAACATTAATATTTCTTCATTGTACTATTTATTAATTAATTTTATAAAGGAAATATCTTCTGAAAAAACAACTATGAAAATTATTTTACGATGATCACAAGGCCCTTACCTTCTATTTATCAAAGTATATAAAAAAAATTTAAAAAATAATAAAAGAATTATCCTTATTATTAAAAAAATAATCTTAAGAAGCTGAAACCGTAAGACATTACTTGATTAAAAATTTTATTCAAGCTTCATTATTTGAATAAAAATTTCAAAAATACTCAAATTAGAAATAACTTTCAGCATGTTTCAAGCGCTCAGAAATAGGCGCCCATTTTCAAGATTTGCCAGACGTGAATGAGAAGAAACATAAGTGATTTGAAGTATAAAACCCGAAGTTGTGAACGTAAAATGGAAAATAAAGGTGAGAAACAAAACTAGAAAAAACCTCAGTAACCGAGAGAATAAAAATAAACATGAAGAAAAAAAATGAACATTAATTCATCACGACCTATCCATACCGCGTGGAAATGCATTTTACCTTTATTCGCCCCTCTCGGCCACAGTGGTTTTTCCTGTTCGGTTTATTATAATTATTATTATTTTCTCACGGCTACTGAGGTTTTTTTCTAGTTATATGTCTCACCAATATTTTCCATTTAAAGCTGGCAACTTCACGTTTTTTATTTGAAACCACTTTTGTTTCTTCTTATTCACATCTGGCAAGTTTTGAAAATGTTCGTCTATTTTAAAGCAGTTGAAACATGTTGACTTTTATTTCTAACCTGTATATTGTTGAAGTGAATGAAGTTTTTTCATCTTGTAATATCCATATATCCTAAAATAACATAATATCTTCTAAGAATATAAAACTTAATAGCTGATAAGTATTCCTAATTTTTTAGTGTAAAATTTGTAATAAACAATAATTAATTTTCGTCTGCAGAAAACTTAATATAAGACAATGCATAACGCAGATAAGAAATGAGACAGAAAAATTTCCAGCGATGCTGCCGTATCAAACATAGCTTACACTGTCAATCCCTAAAATCTGAATAGCCTACTATTATAGGCATAAAGAGAAACAGGTTGGATTACTCTGTTTTACATAAATGGGAAAAATCTTGGCGTAGTGTTATCAAAGGAATGGCTACCAAGTAAGCGTTCTAAACCCGAAAAACAATTGATCAATTATTTATTTATTTTATATTTCACAATACTATCAGAAAGTAAGAATAAACGGAAAATTTTATTGCTCAGCTATTATATTCAAAACTCATCCTAGCATTAAAAGAACACAACAAGCGGCATCAACAAACAGCCTCAAATTTGCAAAAGCCATGCAGTTCAAAGTATGGCAGATGATGCCACATAATAAGGATAATGAAACATCTGCGCTTCTTTCTTTGAGCAAGGAGCTTGCGCAATTGATGTTCATTGCCATAATAGATCAAGATTAAATAGATGAAAGTCAATTGGCGTGCACCTCGTTAAATAGGAGAGTTTTGGGTAGTTTTGAAGTAAAGGCGAGCTGGAAAAGGAAAGGATATATCTCATTTGTTTTATTCGAAAATTGAGGGCATAAGGTGATTATGGTACGGATCTGCATTAAGCTATAAAAACTGGAGCAATTTTCCTGTTCAACTGAAAGCAATCTTAAACGATGAGCATTATTTATGTCCTTTTAAAAACATATTTTTTATGTTATTGGAGGCGAGGAGTAGAAAATAATTATGAGGTTCAGCTTCAGGTTGCTTTTTTAACTTGTTAAATAATTTACAAGGAAGTTAGAGGCAATTTTTTTTCTTAATTTATTGCGTTTTCTTAAAATCAATAATTCTAAGTATAATATTCTCAATTGGAAACAGTAAAAATAAAATTATTATCTTGTTTTTGAATCAACAGTTTTTGAATCAACAGATTTAACAGTGAAAAATCAGCAACAGAATTTCTGGCAACAACAACTTACTTTTGAATAATTTTTTCTAAACGTTACAGTTATTTTGTGAACATTATAGTATTTTGAGTTGTTTGGAAGTCAATGTTTATCATTAAAGAGAGTTAAGGTTACATTTTTGAAAATTAAAGGAAATCTTTTGATTTACCACGAAACAAGAAAAAAAAATATAATTCAAATTTGATATTTTTAATTTTCGATTTAAAATATTATGCTTAAATCTTATTGGTTTTTTTTTATCTATCTCAAATAAAAATGCACATAGTCAGTATTTTTTGCAATTGGCATTTAAAAAAAATTAAGTTATACTTGAATTGTTGTTTACCTATTTCAAAAACTGCAAATCAAAATCTGAATAGCATTTTATAACATAATCGTAAAAGTATAGCATTTAAAATTTATGTATTCAAGTTTCATGCATTCTTAATTTTTGAAATACAACATTTTAAAGTAGAAAAAAAATTAAATAAAATAGGATGAAGAAGGGGGATTTTTTGCACCATTTAAATATCAAAACTAGGAAGAAACCTAAGTTTATCATCTCGCATTTCAATGAAGATGAAAACATAATTTCTGAATAATAATCATTATTTTTAAAAATAACACAAAACCAATACTTACCTTAATTCGAAGTCTATATTTAGTTTGCATTTCAACCTTCATGTGAATCAACTGCAGATCGTCGCCAAATCTTGATGGGCTAGGTAATCTATATAAAGGTATTTCAAATCCACTAAATGTTGATTCAACTTTACCAGAGGAGATATACCCATAGTTCTTTGGATAAACACATATCGGAGCACTCTCCGTATCCGAATGATTGGAATACGAGTCTGAATTTGATAATCCTAAATAGCAGCATCCCCTTGATTCACAGTTTTCTTGATCTACCTTTGAATCTTCAGGATAGCAATCAAAACGTTCTTTTGGCATCGAAAGTTCTATCGGACAGAGTGGTCGCCAATCTGTTATTTTGGAAAGTGCCAAGACACGTTCTGGAAGAATTGGTTTTTTGGTGAGCAAAAAGTAAAGCAGGACAGCGGCTGCAGCAAGTAGCAGAGCACACACAATGACCATGCACCAGACTTTGCAAGAATAGGTGCAGATTTTTTTGCCAAAGCAGCAAGTCTTTTTTTTATTAGTTTGAGAATCTTGTGCAGATGTGGGAGTTCTTGTTCTTGTCATAGTGCATCGATATTGCTTTTCACGTCACTGATAATATTCACATAGCTTACGTGAAAAGGCAGCTAAAATATATATAAAAGAAGAAATAAATATATAAATCGCAAGTATACTATGTTTAGTAAGAAACTAAAATAAAGTGCTGATTTGAAAATGAATAAAACAAGAAGATAAAATTCTGAAATCAAGTAATAATATAGCTACGAATCATATTTGACCAGAAATTACATACAACTTCATGGTGAAACGTTACTTACAAACAAAAGTTTCAGGTCAAAAAATATCTATATAGAACAAAAATATTATCACATTACAAAAAAAAAAAAAAAAAAAAAAAAATTTCCAAAAATATATTGAGAATTCGAATTTTTTTTAAATGACATCAATTTGTTTCCTCAAAAATGGAGTAGAATTTTCGAAAATTTCTGCAAAATAGTTGAACGATAAATGTAAATCAAAAATTATTTTAGTTTTCTAAAACCTCAAACGACGCCCAGTGGCTGAGTGGTAGCGCGTCGGGCTCCCGTGCCAGAGGTCCTGGGTTCGATCCTCAAACCCCTCTAATATTAATGAACTTAATGGTTAATTTAAAAGAAAATTTCATGTGCTTCATTTATCTTGAGGTTATGAAAACTCTCTTTTCCTTAAAAAGGATTTACAAAAGGTTGTCCAATTCTAAACCTGAAAATAACCACTAGCCGCTCACGACTTGGCGAGTCAACAAAAAAAGTGACGACTTAAATAATTAGAGGACATTTTTTCCCTTTTTAAAAAAAAAAATTCTTTAATGATAAAGGAAGTACATCAGTCCAGAATGACTCTGAAAAACAGAATTTTCATTGTTCAATGTCTCGATTCATAATTTTGATCCTTCAGAATCCATCAATTTTTGATTGAAAGATTCATGGTGAAGAAGTGCTTTTCAACATTTTACATATTTCAAAGTTGTAATGCATACATCAATATGAATTCTTTTTAAGAGCAAAATATAACTTAATCCAAGCAACAACAAAAAAAATTGCAAAAAGAGGCTATTAAATGAAAAGGACTTATCAATATCGATCATCGACTTATTAGGTTTGAGAAAAAGTGGCTACCAAGTAATAAGGATCTAGCGGCCACTATTTACTAACTGAGAGTTCAACTTTTCAAGTCTATTTCGTACTAAATACAACTCATTTGTATATAACTTTTAAACAGTCTGATTCGTTTCAAACGTTCAGGAAATAAAAAATTTTTGACTTAAAAAAAATATTTTTTTTATAAAAAAAATTTATAAAAGGTTTTTTTAAGCATTTTTGATATGCTAAATAAGAGTTCAAACGTTTATAGGAATAATTTTTCAAGTTGTATTGTTATACATGCAACAACTAATGAGTGAGAAAAAAATATCTTATCAGCTTAATGTCATTTGCATTTCTCTACTATTTTCAAAACTGACCTAACGTAAATAGAAGAATTCTAATCTTATCTTTAATCTTCTCATTATCACTCTTGCGAAAAAGACTAATGACTTCGAACAAATACTTCCGGGAGGTCTGGAGAAAAAAAATGTGGGACAATTTGCATGCGTTTCAACAATGAAGGACAAAAAACTATTATAATAGGTCAAGTTTGGAATTTTTAAAGATCTTTCAAAATTAGAAACTTTAAGAATTGTATAGATTTATTTGCATTTTAAAATGACCTTTCCTGAGATTTTTTTTTTCTTTAATTGGCTTTTTTATTTATTTTGCATATGGAATAAAAACATTATTCTTTCTGAAATTTAATTTTGAAAGCAATGTTAATAATAAAATAAACTATTTTATACTCGGAGGTTAAGCTCCCTGTTAGCTTCCCCTCATCATCTTCGCAATAATTGCTGTTTCATAGAATAAAACAGTTTTTTTTTCTAAAAAATATTAAATAATTCACACTTGAGCCGCGATGGCTCAGGGGATAGAGCATTCGTCTTCCAATCAGGCAAACCGGGTTTGAATCCCAGTCGATACGAATTCCGCATCCGGCTTGCACCGACCACAGTGCTGGCGTGAAATATCCTCAGTGGTAGACGGATCATGGGTTAGAGTTCCTTGCCGTCAGGCTAACCGTGGGAGGTTGGCGTGGTGCCCCTCTCCATATAACGCAAATGCGGGTTAGCTCCATCAAAAAGTCCTCAACAAAAGCAAATTTCTCCCAATACTCGATCCAGGAGTTCCCTTGTCTTCTGGATTGCGTTCAAAATTGCAAAGCTACGGAGTTGAACATTAGCAGTCGTAAACCAATAAAATTGGATCGGCTGTTCAACGACGGTAATAAAATGTAAAATAAAATTATAAAATTATTCCCACTTAAAATGACTTAAAATGTAAGCACTTTTATAAATAAAATTTTTTAAAAATATTTAAAGAAATTCTGTTTGCTTACGCTTGTGCCTCACTTCTCACTTCCAACATTCTTTTCTTCAATTTAAATATTTATTTTGAATCAAATTTTCTTGGTAAATAGTATGAAAGATTTCGTATGTTTCTATTTACTCCCTTATGAATCTATTTAGAACTTTCAAGTGAACATAAGTAATTTTGCTTAGTAATCATTCTTTCTTTCAAAATAACATTTAAAATTAAAGGTATACTGTTATAAGAAATTTGAGGAGTTCGCAACCGTTATTTTATCAGGCTGATTTTTATTAAGTACGATTTGTGCAGACCCCACATTGTGCATGAAGGTAATGGTTAAGTTGTAAATCACTTAAATAATCTCTTTAACTGTAATTTATAATAGCAATGTAACGTAATTTACACTAAAAAAATTAACAATTGTAAAACGTTTAGTAAGTTTTGATACCGATTCAAATAAGTATATCTTAAAATGCAACGTAATTAGGTTAAATTATATAATTAGGTTAGATTATGGAATTAGGTTATAATATAGAATTAGGTTTTATTATAGAATTACCTTATAATAAAGAAAAAATCTTTTATTTCTAAGAGAGTAATTTAATTAAATTAAAAACGTTATAATAGCAGAGTAAAATACTAAAAATAAATATTACAGGTAAATATCTTTAAATTTGGGATACAAAAATATTTTACAGGAAAAAAAAACCTTATATGACATATATTCATTTTCTGAGGCAACCAAAAAATATGAAAATTAATGTGGAAAAACTGTATCCTACCACGTGACTTTTCGGCTAATCAAAATGCGCTAACAACAATGGAAAACTGCGACACCGTTATTATTTTCGACAGAATTAGACAGATTGAAACAAACAATTTACATTGATTTAAAAAAAGTTTTTATTGATAATTGAAGTATCAGTTATGCAATTTATTATGTACCACAAACAACTGCCTGTTGCTGCTAAAATTTTGTATGACATTTTGACATAATTGTGTCTCTATTTCATCAACAACACGAATAATTTTATCCTGGAATCGATAGTGGATTGTTTTTATAAACCTGGCTTTTCACGTAACACCAAAGAAAAATGTCCAACGGTGTTAGATCACACGATCTTGGCGGCCAAGTAAACAATTCGTACAATAATTCTTCCGCGAAATATTTGTCTCAATAAAGCAATTATTTCATCAGCAAAAAGATGTTAAAACCATGTATCCTCTTGATCGATATCATTCAGTACAGGGCAAAAAAACTAACATATTCTCGATATCGAACACCATTCAAACTTACAGTCAAACTTACCATTCAAACTTACAGATTCACTCTTACAGCAGCATTTTCAAACAAATATGACCCAATTATACCACCAGACCATAATGCACACCAAACAAAACAATTTTTATCAGTGGTCTAAATGATACTTCTAAAATATGTCAAGATCTATGTGGATTCTCAACATCATTTGTGTTTTTTAAGAAAATTTAAAAAAAAAATTACCGAACTTAAAAGATTTTTTAGTAGGAATCCTCCATTACTCTGTTGGTTATCAAATTGCAGCTAAGAAAGTCTTACTTAATATCCCCCCCCCCTTTCCTTATATTTATTTTAAGTACATAATATTATTTTAACAGGTATTATTTTTGTTCCAAATATTCGTCAAACTCCTTTTTCGTTTTCCTCAATAATAAGATCCAATAATGAAGGCATTACAATGAACAAATCTGAATTTTTTTAAAATTGCATTTATTCCATTGGAAGGTTTGTTTTCTGCGATACAATAGTACAATAATCATACAAAATTTGTTTAAAAATCTTTCACTTAAAATTTATTATTTTTTTAAAAAAAAATTATGCAGTATCGACTAAATAACTCGAGAAAAAACGCTTCAGATCAAATTAAAGTGGGAAAAATTTTCAAACGATGCATTAAACAAAACAAACTCAATTCCAATCTTACCTCACCCTTTAGGGTGGGGTTCGCTTTCAAAATCATAAGTCTAAACCTTCATTATTTTAGTTGAAAATTCGGGTTCTCCAGAAAAAAAGAACTTCAATTGAAGTTTTTGTATTTTGGTTTTTTACATGGAGCTAAAATCGAAAATACATGAAGCTGAAAAAGGGAGATAAAAAAACAAAAATAGACATATTTGACATTTTGAAAATACCTGTCATATAAAAACGATCCCGAACTAGTAGTGATGGTAAAGTTTTGTATTATTAAATGCATCTTTAAAAATTAATTCTTACTTTCATTTTAAAATTTTTAATCCGTATCTCTAGAGATATTTGATCATCTCTGATGTTCTCTTAAAGCACTGAAATTGTTTGATAAAATCAAACAATGGAGCCAAAAATAGGAACTCTTTAAATAGAATTAGAATACAACTCTAAATAAATGATCCATCAAACACATTTATATCCGGTGTCATTTTACGTACTTTAAACTGATTACACTGATTGAGCTATTACTGATTGAACTATAGTTCAATAAAAAGAAGTTGATAAAAACCCATCTTAATCATTTGATGCAGAAATTTTATTAAACATATTTTTTCATACTTTTTTCATTATTTTGTACTAATTTAGGTCAAAATAAGTTTAAAAGCGTATTTAGCCTTTTATTAATTTTTAGTTATGAAATACAGCCTAAAACAGCAGTGACTTTTTCTGCATGAAAGTAAAATCTTCCAAACGCGGCTCACTTTCAAATAATAATTTTTTCAAATTTGCACTTATTTGCAGTTATTTAAATCTTCTTTTTTCTTTTCTATTCTTTTTTTTTAATGGCGGGCACTTAGAACTATTGTCCATTGGCCACAGAAAGTGCCAGAACTGCTAACTCTCTTGTCGTTATCCAGTGGGCACCTGTGGCGGAGCAGTGTCGCCCACGTCACACTACCACAAACCCGTTTATAGTGCGGGTCACATTCACACACAAAGGAGAAAGGACATAGAACACAGATAGAGAGAAAGAGACATCAATGCCTTGCCCGGGATTTGAACCCAGAACCTTTCTGATGCAAGGACAGTTCCCTGCCCCCTACATAGGTCGGCAGTTATTTAAATCTAAGAGAAACTGTTATTTCTCATTTTTTTCTTTTTTTAATTCACTGAATCAATTATTGATAAATATTTGATTACGAATAAAAACAACTTTGAAACTACTTTTTTTGAATTTTATATTTTAGTACAAATAAATTCCTATAATCGAACAGATTTTGTTAGTAACTATCAGACTGTTTTTTAACAAAAAACACCAGAATATATTTTTACTCGTAATTAGAGCGTTATAAAAAAGACATGAAAGGAACACGGTGTATCAGAGGGTTAAAGCCCTGAATTGCAACGAATAACTATTTTGTATCAACAACAGGGATCAATGAATACGAATCCTTCTAAGACATATTGCACTTGGGTAAAAATTTCCTTCATTAATTTAACAATAAATAAATTTATTCATTAGGTCTTGTATTGGAGGCATCAGATTCATTATTTTGATTTTAAAAAAAGTTTCAATCACAAAAGAAATGTAATAAAATTTTATGAAGCCTGCTGAAAATTTGAAAATAAATATTTTTGTAATTATGAGTATTTAATTGGGCGTGATCAGCACAATTGATTACTATACAATAGATATATGATATAATATATATATGATATGATATATAATACAATAGATATATGATTTATAGTAGATCTGGGTGAAATATTGAGATATACGAATATTATTTAAAGGGTTTATTTTAAAAAACACTCTCACGATATATTGTGAAAGCCATGTCTTACAATGAACATCAAATATACGATATAACTATAAGCTAAATCAATGTCATTATCGAGAACGATAAATATCGAAAATGATAATGTGGCGAGTATTATCGAAAACGACAATTATCAAATAAAATAACATTGAGATCATTATCGACTGCGATCAATATCGAGTGCAAATACTATCTGTGTTTGTTGATGACTCATGAGTAACAAAACTACTGATTAATGTATAAATTCTATAAAATAAACAAGCTGGGCCTGGTTGGTAGGGCACTGGGCCCATGTCCGAGAGGTCGTGGATTCGATTTTCTCCGGCCAAAGACTCCCGGTGTAGTAAATGGTAACTAATGCACGTTAAATCTGTCGAGTCACAAAGTCCTCCATGTTCCCATAACAAATCAAACCTTTGGGGGTACTGATCAAGGAGTTTCCTTGTCTTCTGGATTGGTTCAAAATTACAAGGCTACGGAGTTGAACATAAGTAGTACTAACCCAAAATTGGGTCGGCTGTTCAATGACAATTATAAAACAAAAATAAAAAAATCAACAAACTGGGAAAAAGTTTCAAGATATATCATAAAATATTGATATTTCCTTAAAATATATCCGATATAAAATTCCGATTTCAGCCAGCACTAGTTTGTAATAAAACTAAGTATGCAAGTAATACGTGAATATACACTATCATTTATACACAGTGTCAAGCATGTTTTCTCGTTAGAGATAAAAATCAAACAATACCCATAGTAAAAAAATATGAGCTCCTTTGAATTAAATTAGTATCCAGCTCCGCTTGAATGATCCATCAAACATATTTATATCCGGCGGCGTCTCACGTGATTAAAGAATTTTACTGACTTAACTATAATTCAATAAAGAGCGATAAATGAAAACACTTCCTTAAGTCCTGATTTACAAGGAGCGAACCTTTTGTAAAAGCAACACAAAGATCAATAACTACAAGTCGTCGTAAAACAGATGAAAGCTTCATCAAATTCTTTGATCTTGAAATGCTTTCATTGTGATGTAGATGAGATCAATTATAAGATTACTCTCCTTGACGTAAAACAAGATAATTTAGGTGGCTGGTTTGATTGTACTACTTCGAAGAAGGCTATCGTGGCTACTGCTGCTTTTTTATGAATGAAATGATGGTAGTCGGTTTTTTTCGGTTACGTTCGAAATGGGATCTTTGTAAACTGTTTTAAAGGACGTGAGTTTTTTCAGTTGAAAAAAAAAATGCTTCTAAGGGTTCCATTTATTAATGTGCATGTTAGCATTGAAGTGCAGAATCTAGTTATTCTACAGATAGTTTCTGGGAAATAGTGTTTTGCATGGAATTTAATTTTTACGAAGACGAGGTTGAATTTTTTAGTGCATTTTTAGAATCTTTTTGATTTACTAAAAATCTAAAACAATGTCAGTGTTCAAAATGTCGTTTTTGGTCGCCATCTTCGAAGAATGTTAAAATTTGTAATAGAAACCTGTTTAATAACTAAATGCACTGCATATCACGCTGAAAAATAAAATTTTATTTTTCCGTAAAGTGAATTTGGTGCAGACGTTTTTTTTTTTTTTTTTTTTTTTTTTTTNTTTTTTTTTTTTTTTTTTTTTTTTTTTTTTTTTTTTTTTTTTTTTTTTGAAAACATCAAAAATTTTCTATGTAGTAACAAATTAAATGATATTTTAAGCAAAAATATAATATAATGCTGATCTTTAAAAATTAATCCTTCGAATTTAGAACTAATAATAACTAGAAAAATTAATTACTATAAAATTTAATATTCTCTTAAAAAATTTGTCCTTTTTGTATGTTAAACGTCCCAGAAAAGTGCAAACAGGGTTTTTTTTTCTTTTTGAAAACATCAAAAATTTCATATGTAGTAACAAATAAAATGATATTTCAAGCTAAAATATAATATAATGTTGGTCTTTAGAAATGAATCCTTCGAATTTGGAACTAGTAATAACTAGAAAAATTAATTGCTTAAAAATTTAATATTCTTTTAAAAAACTTTTAAAAAATTTGTCCTTTTTAAAGTTACTAATAATTTGTTCTTTACAACAAGACATACACATAATAAGCGCTGGTATAGTTCAAATTGTGTTTTTTTACTTTGCAAATGAGTTTTGCAAAACATATTTATAATGAAGTTACAAACGCGAATCAGAACGAATAAAAGATAAAAATCGATCATTTCTTTCACTTAGCATAAAAATAATTGGAAATAAAATAATTATTTATGATTATAATATATTATTTCAACAATAAAACAAGAAAATAAGTAGTCGAAAGTTCGTGAGAATACATCATTAATTCCTGAAGTTTGTCGTCTACAAGTTGTCATAATTGCAATTTTTTTAGTTCTAACGCCAAAAACTTAGTTCGTAAATCATTAAGTCAATTCGAATTATACCACCACATATTCTTGCTTTTGCATGTAAACAAACGGCCATTAGAATAATTGGCCTTTAACAAAGAATAATATGTTCAGAGCAACAAACAATTATTTTTCATTAGGGTTACCAACTAGGGCATAGAATATTCAAGGAATCGATTAATCAAACTATATTATTGATAAGACTGGTGAGCAATGAAAGTACTAACAGAATTTACTAGGAACTACGGCACTTATTTGGTGTTATGATTATTTCGTACAATTATTCTATATATCAATCTATCTATTATTTATTTATTTATTTCACCTTTTCTTTTTTTAGAATATTTTTGTAAAACATTTAATTCTATAGAACTTGAGGTCTAGAATATTTAGGAAACCGCTCTGTGGTCAAAATAAAGGAATAAAATTTTAATTCCTTGAGCATGGCGGAATAAAGTTCGATTTACACCATAAATATACTTACAAAAATTATAATAGTGCTATGTTATTGATTCTTTGTAAAGATGATTATTTGTAAAGATGATTATGCTTTAATTGTAATTACACACAATTAAAGCATCCATTATCTAAAAATTTAAAGCAGTTTTTTTGTAGATAAGTGTTATTAATAAAAGTCTATTTTATTACAAGCATAAAAAATAGTATGATTTTGTATAATTATGAAATTCTGGGTTATGGGTAGGGCTTTTTGTATTAAGGGGCCCCTTTAGGAAAAAAATAATTTTACTTTAGCCAATAGCCTAAAGTATACGCTATGTTCCTTCGAGAAAAGCTTAAAAGATTCGGAAAAGGAAATTTAGATTTTAAAAAAAATAACGCATAAGCATGATGAAAGCTTTTGGAGCAATAAAATGATAAGCCGCATTCTAAGTTGCTTAAGAGAGCATTTTGTCATTTTTTATATCAAGATTTCAATGAAAACAAAAAAATATCTCAGTGTATTAGATTTTATAGAAATCCTGGAAACTCTAAAGATACTTATCTGTAAACAATACTTAGAAATAACAAAAAAAGAGAAAAATTATTGACTGCAATTTTGATGTAAAATTGTGAACTTTGGAAAAAGAATGGTTAAGTATATAGCCCCAAGTCCCTCATACATCTACTAATTCCTGTATAGATTAACAATTTATAAAGGGCTAATTCACTTAGGCTTAATAGGAAATATTTTTGAAGTAATAATTTTACATGTCCCTCTGAAGCAGTCTAAATCTGCATCCTAATTAAATAATTTATTAAAAATTAAATTAATTATTTAATCAAAAATTAAAATAAATAAAAAAAAACTTTTACAATAAAACCATTAAACTTTAATAAACAAGCGCATAAGCTGCCGACGAAAATTAAAGCATAAATATTATAATATACGAGAATGTAATATGATAAAAGGGGTTTGTTTAAAAGAAATTAGGGTCCGTTAACGGACCCTTCACAAAATATTTTTTCTCAAAAAAATGGACCCTTCACAAAATATTTTAACTTAAAAACGGACCCTTCACTAAATAATTTATCTTTTAATCAGACCCTCACAAAGTTGTTTATCTTTATTATTGTTTTGTTAATGGAAAAAACCCTTCCCAGGGGGGTGGAAAAAAAGAAAGACAGATGTAAACGAACTAAGCTTTGTCTTCAGCAAACGCTTCTGCTTTTATTAGTCCGCAATGAATATTCTGCGTTCAGCAATATAGGCTAAATACCAAATATTTGTGTGTTGCATCTCTAATTTAGTAGCAGCAATCGCTATTTATTTTTGAAAATTTAAATTTTTTTTATTATAATTTTACAGTGTTGAGCATAAACTTGTATCTTTTTACAATTTAAAAGCTCCTTGAAAAAGTTTTTTGCAATAACAGGACCCTATTTGCACAAATTCACAAAAGCAGGGCCCTGGTTGAAAGAATGTGACTTAACGTTTGTTTTATATACAAAAATTACGAGTAATTTTTTCACAATTTTACAAAAACGGACCTTTTACAAAATGTTTGGACAGACCCCTGGAATCGACATAAATAAATGAATCCACATAATAAATCCACATAAATAAATGTTGTAACTCATCAGCAACACCACACCTTTGACAGAATTGCTGGATTTCTTTACAGTAATATCTTACTATACATAAAAATCAAATGATGGTGTTGCAGTTTTCCACTATTATCGGTGCATTTTTATTGGCCAAAAAATTTGCATCCAGTTTCCCACATAAGTTTTCGTATTGATTTGGTTATCATCAGAATAAAATTGATAAGTCATAAGCATAAGTCATATTCACCAGCATAAGTCACTTTATGTCCACTTATAGATCTTAATAGTATCATAAGAGAAATATTTGGATGTGAAAAGTGGTGGCACAAGTGTTCTTTTTAATACATATATTTTTGGTTAAATATTTTCAACTGTTTTATGCCAAGAAACACAATTATTGTGAAGCAATCATCGGGGTTGAGGAACGTCAGCGAGCTGGGGGCTTAGCCCCTAGTATATATATTATTAAGAAATTTTCTAATTAAGTTTGATTTCTAGCATCAGGAGTTTTAAAAAAAATCATCAATTTACAAAAAGAATTTTAACGAGACGTTAAAGAATTGAATTTCTTTTATTTGGAGCCGAAATATTTTCCCCGTGAAAAGAATGACTTGGCAGTTGAGAAGTAAAGAATGCGTCGAGAAGAAAGAAAAAAAAAGAACTGTTCTTGGAAAGATGCTTAGGACCATTTGAAAAATTTTATTTAATAGCTGGTCACACGACACCAAGACTAAAATTATTACCGTCATATAACAAATTTTAGATAAAAGTTTTCACCTAGGAACTTTTACAAAATTAAATACAAGATATCATATAACGATCTTTCTTAAGAAATATTTTTTAGATTTCTTATCAGAAAAGTAAACATAGTTGGGTCCCCAGGGGGGTGCTAAAGTCTTAATATGTTGAGGCACATTTTTTGTTTAAACACCCCCTGAAAAAATGAGTATTAACTGTAGCAGGAAAAAAAAAATTTAGTTTAAAGAAAAATAACATTAGGACCATTCGTACTTATAAAAACCTAAATCCATATTTTAAATCCATCATGTAAATGTAAAATTATTCATTGGTTAAAAAACTTTTTTTTTTTTAAATATTATTCTTAGTTTTTTTTTAAATTTAAAAGAAAAAATAATCAAACCTCAATAACCTAAAACTGCATTATTAAATTACATTGAAAATAATGTTTTTTTCTTTATGAAATAATATGCTGAAGCCACATATTTACCTAATAAAAAATTTGATTTACAACAAACATCATACCAGTAATAGATTGTTGTTTTACAGTGGAGAATTTGATTTTGAATGTAGCTTTATATCGAATAGATAGCTCGTGAAAATATATATTAATGCATTTTTATATGTATATAATTATAAAATACACATAAAAATGCATTGTTGCAAATGAAAATGCTATTTGTGATACTAGAAGAGCTAGGGTTGAAGGCGAATAACTGCCCAGGCAACCCACCAATTGGCTTTCAGACACAAGCTGTTATATAAATTTTTTGCTTAAAAAATCATTTGCGACCCCTAATTTTGACT